ACTGTTATTTTTAACTAAAGCAAGCGGCTGCTGCGTGCATGGTTTGGCATGGCAGAATGCCAGCAAAGAGCGCTACATTTATAATATCTAAAAGACATCTCAGTTCATCGAAATCTCACAAATCTCTGTTATAACACAACAAATATATCATGAATAAGCATAATGAATCTTTCATAATGTCTACAATTCGTGTGTTATAATGAGAGGATTCGTGAACACGTAAATTTCAGCACTGCATTCCTCAACGCTGCAAACACGTGTTATAGACTAAATAGAAACTGTGCATACGCTTGCACCTGTTAATCGTTTATATTTTATATTAGTTCATGTAGCTTTTGTGCAATAGATGAATAACAATTTATTTGTTTTAGATATTGTATGTTTAGATATTTCTATTTTGCGGGAGTCCCGTGAATCATTTTATTCTCCCGCATCACACACGAGTCTCTGCACTCGCCTATCAAGTCTTGTCCCGCGGGAGCAGGTCTCTAATCCACTGGCACTTGACTCACAGTGCGTGTGCTACATCCTTGTTACAATCTCCAGATTATAAAACACTGCATTCTGTCAGCAATGTAACGCGGCAGTAACGTATAGAGACTTCGGCTTGTAACTATACTCTAATTACTATTTTGAAAATTATAACGCGTTAAATTACTCCGTTACTAAAAAAGTAATCAAATTACAGTAACGCGTTACTAAGTAATGCGTTACTGCCCAACACTGATTATGCATCAACTACCCATATGTTAAACTGCACTTTATACCATTTAGCACCATCTTTGTGGAACACTGCTGATGGCTCTATGACCTGGTTGCCATAGTAACAAGGACACTGATCAGCATGTACACAGCGACCGCCTTCATTGAGGTAGGTTCCCTCAGAACAGGTGCAACCATCTACAGGTGTGAAGGACCCTTGGCAGGTGTTGTCTTGTTCACTGAGAGAGCGGCAGGTGCTGCAACAGCTGGTTACCCCGTAGGAGTACTTCATGTTCCCTGAACACTTCGAAATCATGTCTGTGTAGCCAGAGATAGACAGAGGCAGATTTGTAACAGAGTGCACATACAGTATAACTATTTGTTAGTATGTGTACTTTATAAAGTTCTCACCACAGGGGTCAGAATCCATCCAGCCCTGGAGAATGACTCCTCTGGCAGCACAGGCGTGGGCATAGTTGGACACGGCCGCACACATACACTTCCTAATATCTGCACATTTGCAGGTATCGTAGACACACCACTGCAGAGAAAAATAGATTGAAGTCTGAGTGAAGCGGCTATTCGAACAAGGAAAAATGTAGGGCAGGACTTGATTTTGTCCATCAGGAACTGATTGAATCATCTGAAGTTCTAGATCTAGTCACTGTCCACTACCAGTACTGCTCCCATCTGTTGTCTATGCACAAATAAAAATTCTCAACTCTTTACTGATGTATAACATTTATCATCTTTTAATTAAGTTTTATGATATCACATAGTGATAGTCACATATAGAATATAGGCTTTACTTTAGTTGCACATTCATATAGAGACTTTTTGAACTTCTATTATAAGCTTCTATGTGAACTGGACATTTCGAGACTCACACCTACACTCACCGGCCACTTTATTAGAAACAACTTGTTAGTAACAGGTTGGACGTCCTTTTGCCTTCAGAACTGCCTTAAAGGGTTAGTTCACCCAAAAATGAAAATTCTGTCATTAATTACTCACCCTCATGTCGTTCCAAACCCGTAAGACCTTCGTTTATCTTCGGAACACAAATTAAGATGTGCCACACGGATACGTTTTCTATGTTGTTTGTGCTTTGATTTGAAAGAAAACAACATATTCGTGTGGTGCGGCTGACACAGAACAACATACGCTGTTTGCGTTCAGTGGATACTCTCCAAACTGGCGCTAGAGGGTGACACGGAGGAGACAAATTGTTGAATAAAGTCTTTTTTTTTTTTTTCTTTTGCGCACAAAAAGTATTCTCGTAGCTTCGTAAAATTACGGTTGAACCCCTGATGTCACATG